ACAAATTTGAACATTGTTCGAATTAAATTCGAACAAATTCAAACAAAACATTCAAAATAGAAAGCCACTTTCAACCACTTTCAAGCCCATATCTCCTGCACCCTTATAGCTATCGAGATGCAACCACCCCTATGCACGAATAGAGACTTGGGGCTACTACCACATACAAACACCATTCATGTGCGATGTGTAGTTTTTGCGAAAAAGTGAAATATAGGGACATACATGTCCATTTTTATATATATATAGATGGTCACACCAATTCAAATTAATCTTGCTGATAAAAAAAATTTAATGCTCTTTAACTTTTGAAGAGTTTTCATGATAATATTATAATACAGCATTGTAATAAATAACTACTGTTTGTGCAAAATAGTATAGAAATAGAGTTAGCAAACACTAATCGCTTTATGGAATTTGTTGGATGGTAATTTTCAAATTGCAGACTCATAAATCCTCACTGTCATCCGTCTGTTCTTCATTAATCTCAAAAACAGAGACAGACAGATAATAATCAAGACCAGATACGGAAAGCTTGGGGGTCGGCGGCACTAATTAATTTTTAAATTAAAATACGATTAAAAATTGCAGCCCACAATTGTGACAATGTTACAATAAATAATTCAGATTTTACTTATTTTTAACTTGTTGTTACTTAACAAAATTTAATAAAACTGATTACTTATAAGTTTTTCCCCCTCCATTAAAACAGAACCTTGCAGTGCATCTTAGAATCAAGGATATACGGTATTTTAAATTGATTCCAAAATTATTTAATTTTATATCATCATTAAAAGTAAATAAAATTAAAAGATACGGTCAGTTCCAGGAAACAGAACGGCTCCTCTGATCATTTCTCCCATAATGCAACCCACTGACCAAATATCCACTTTAAAAGAAAGAAAATAAAATTAATAAATTAGTTATATTGTAAATTTAGAAAATAGAACAACATATATTTGTATTTTTGTTTAATCCTATATAATTATTCTTATGTAGTAAAACATTACATTATATAAATATGAGATGTTGCTAAAAAGAAATGAGAATTATTTTTTAATATTATATATTCTTTTACATATAACAATTTCAATATTTATTCTCTTCAGAGTGCTTTCAAGCAACACCTTATACGCTATTCATTTAGATAAACCAGAGTCCAAAATAGTCACAGAAGTCTTCAGAAGAGACCATCTTCAAATGTTACAGTGTTCTGGATGTCCACAGTCTTCAAATCTTTTTTCTAAAGTAGATAAATTAATTTTTGGGAACAGATAAAAATCATGTCACAAGTCCAACAAGTAAGGTGTATCAAATGTCAAGGTCTTGTTTAATCTTAAAAATTCTCTCACTGCAATGGTAAAATGACACGTTTTTCTGCCGAAAGATAACAATGCTGATTTGCTTCGCAATTCACTTGCAACAACCGATTGCAGCAAGACAAGAACAATCTATAGGATTTCTAAAAAGAATGTTATCATTTTAAATTATTGTAATTATGTTAATTATTACCTGAGAAGTATGCAATATACATCAATTGATATAAAATGTCCTGTTTCATCTTCGTTATGCATATAAACATCTTTATCTGCTGCCTCTAGGAAGCACTGTAAAAAAAAAAATAGCAACTCTGCAACACAAAGTGTTTTGCATTCTGTAGTTTGCAAAGTCGTAGTCAGTTGTCGTTGTGTAAACATATGAATGTAATTTTCAGACAATTTCAAAGTGATTTACAATGTAAGAAAAACATTCTTGTGGCACAATGACGACCCATTCTGACTTTGTGGACTGCAGAACACATTGCCTTTTCAGTTGCGAAGTTTCCATTTTTGTTTATGGCACTTCCTAAAGGCAGTAGACAAAAAGACATTTGAATGCAGATGATAAATGAAATCCAAACAGTTACTCTATCGATTGGTATACTTCCCAGGTAATAACGAACATAATTACAGTAATTTAAAATAGTACCATTTTTTTTGAAGACCCTAAACACAGGAAAAATAAGTTACAACATAATATGAATATTTTTGACATGAGCAACAGAAAAGCGCTGGTAAGCAACAACTCTAATTTGTTTTTAACCTCTCCTCATAAAAAAATCAAGTCAGTTTTCAAAATGCACAAGTTAGCAATTTGTTAACCCTCCAGGAGACAGACCTCACAGGATCTATTTTTCAATTTTTATAGTTAAACCTTCTTTAATTTGTCTTTGGACTAATATAATGGCATGACTCAAACCTTTAAAATACAGTGACAACATCTCAGAATTTAACTTTTTCATTCCATTTTATAAGTCTGAGTCATGCTGTTGTGGTTTATACAAGTTTGGTTTTGAAGAAAGTACAATATAAATCATCCTACAATACTCATCACTACACAGGTATTTACAAATATTTTATATAATTAATTTTATACAAACCGTTCTCTTTATAGCCCATTCCAAGTATAACTTCAGGTGCACGATAGTATCTTGTTACTACGTAAGGAGTCATCATAAACGTTGTTCCAGCTGTCCTTGCAAGTCCAAAGTCAAGAATTTTTAATGTACAATCTGATTTAACTACAATATTACTTGGTTTTAAATCCTGAAATTAAATCAATGAACATTATTTGTAAAATCTAAATTAAATAAGATAAAATAATAATTAAAAACATATATATCATCATCAATCTAACTGAATTGGGGCATGAAAGATACTATTATTGTGATTTTTGTAAACAGAGACTAAAATTGCCACATATTGCACTTTACTTGAAGAGAAGCTGAAGCTTGCAATTTGCACTAAATGCAATTTGGACAACAGTTTAGAGGACTGCTGTCCAAAGTAGTTTTATTGCTTTATGACAATATATGTCCTCATAATTGAGAACAGTGCAAACTACTGAAAAAAGAAAATTTGACCTTCTCTGTTCACTGTAGAGCCTGGGGCCGTATTCTGGTCACTGTCTCTGGTCTCTCGCAAGCCGGTCGCCGATTGGCTAATCATTTGGATTAGCTAATCAGCGACCAGCTTGTAAGAGACCAGAGACAGTGACCAGAATACGGTCCCTGGTCTTCACAACTAATCATCACTTTTTTACTTCTAAAAGAAGTACTATATGGTCATAAATTTGAAATTAATGAAAAGGTAAAAGCAGTGATGCACAACTGGCTACATGCCCAGACAAAATCTTTTATTCTAACAGAATCGATAAACTTCTGGACTGCTATTACAAGCGTGCGTAACAGTAATTGGGATAAGTTAAACCAAAATAAATAACCAAAACTATTGTCTTTGACAAAAATGCTATATATCCCAGGTGTCATAGACTCTCCTATTATCTCCTTGTCATTTCTGAGGAGTCTGTAAATTATATGATTTCTTCGGTAACAAATTCTGGTGTCGTTGCTTCAGGCTATGTCTGTGTAATTTTTGTGAACTGTTGTTGAGAATGTTCAACAAGGATTTGAAATATATTGGAGTCACTTCCAACCCCCTAAGGACTTGAATAAAAGCACATGACAACTTAAAAAAGGGAACTCCCAGTCACATTGTTGACATTTGTATTGGAACCAGATAGCCATGTTAACCTACAGAAAGCCTGGTTAATATAGCCAACTGATAATCATGTAGAATTAAAAGAAATGGATACCTTAGAGATTTACAAATCCGAAAGAACAATATCATTCCTTCATATTTGAGTGTGTTTTCTTTAGCATTTATGCATTTGGATTCCTTTCAAGTGCATAAATGACCAAAGATGTGAAAACACTCTCCTATGTATGAAAGATCTGTTATAAAGTTCCCCGAATCAAGTACTGTTGGATCACAATCTTTTTATTTTTATTGTTACTTTTGTTCTGTTATTTTTTTAAAATCTTACTTTACTACATTGTATATATAAATTGTACTAAATCAAATTTGCATACATGCTTTGAGTTAACATTTAAAATTTAATTTCTGTAACATCATCGTCAGAATGAACCAATATCTGTTTATCAATTTTAAGAAATTAACAAAATGAATAATTCAATTACAATAACGTAATATCTACCTTCGGAATTATATAATTTCTATACGCGATAATTATAATTTTCAAATTTCGGATGAAGTCTTATCAAAAATAATTTTAGAATAAATTTTATACAATAATAAAATAAGAATTTTATGAAATTTATGCGATGATAATATTTAAAAAGAAAATTTAAAATCAATTATAATGAATAATAGATTAATATTACATACTCTATGGATTATTCCAGCAGAATGTAAATGTTTTATACCACATAGCATCTGATATAGAAGATAGGACATTCTTTCATGGTCCAAATCCATCTGGATAACTTGGCACAGATTTGCATCCATCAATTCCATTACCAAGTATCTAATAAAAAATATATAATGAAAGTCAAAATTAAAACATTCTGAATTAATTTACAACTCAAAATATATATTTTAAATTAAATTGAAAAATTCTCTCTTATTTACTACCATTTCATATAAGATATAATGGTGAACATAGTGTTTTTTCAAACTTTTTTAACACATTTTACATCTCATATAAAGGAATATTCTTAAAGCCCGTAATCAAATCGTAATTCAATATGGGACAGCAAAGATTTTATTTTTTAAAGTTTCTCATAGTGTTGCAAATTACATTAATTTTAAACAGATACTAACCCCTTAAGCCCATAACCCGAGATATCTCGGGCAACCCCTTAAGTTAACAGCCCCCCAAAAAATCAGGTAATTTAACATTAATTTTGGCTAGTGGTTTGCATTATATACATATATTCTTTAAACCATTCACACACAGTATTTCCATCTAAGAAAATTTCCTATGTTATCGTTATATGTGTCATACAATATATGCCATTATATATCCAAAGAATTTTATTCAATTACCATCTTCAGTGTAATTCTCAAGGCAACACCAAGTGTTTTGGCTAGTGATGCCATATAATTGAAAATATTGTGAAATATAATAGAAAATATTCTCTGATTTTATGAAAAAAAGTACACTCTTTCAAGTAAGAACTTAAAAACAAACTGACATTAGTATTTTTTAAATATACATTTTTGTTTATTAAGTTAATTAAACTAATCCAAAACACAAACAGGCACTTCTTTATGCTATCAAGTTTTCATTTGTTCAAAAAATAAACAAAAGTTACTTACTATAAACGATGGCCTAAAACAAAATAAAATGATAAGAAATATCCATAGAATATTCCTTATTAATTTATTTTACTTTAATATACTTAAAACTGTTGAGAGAAATGCAGTATCCTTTATAATAATATAGAAAAACTCACAATCACTTACACATCTTGGAAATCTTCTAGTGATTTCTGAGGTGTGAATGCATTGAGAAGTCCAATAATCTGAAATTCAGAACAAATAAAATTCTTGAAATATCATTAAAAAAAATTTATTTGAAATATTCTATATATGTATCCAACTGTCAGTCACTTCTTGTTTAACGATCATACGAGAATGATCATTTTAATGACCATTGTACAATTCAGTGACAAATAGTAAATATGGCAAGTGTCTGTTCTTTAACTGAATAGTCAATTTAGCTAGCAATATGGTAATTTTAAATTGATTGAGAATTATTTTTATTAATAGCTTTACCCATGACTATCACTCAGAAATGGTACACATCAAAAAATTAATACTGAAAGAATAATTCCAAATGTTTTAAATTATTACAGATAAATTATTATTACAATACTCGGTGTAAAATGTTATTCTAAATATTTTTATGACCACAGACTGGGAGATGTACCGTACACATACACACATATATAAGTATAATGTTTGATTAAAAGTCATTTCCATCAACCAATGATGTCAGGACCAATTATAATCTTTAAGCTAGAAGTGACTGATTACATTTACTACAATATTTCATTCAATAATTTCTTCATAAAATTTTTTGAATTTAAATAACAAATGTAAATTTATACAGTAAATTTTTGCTTTATAATAATCCATTTCAAAGAATCCACTAAATTATAAAATATTACAATGTAAACACAATAATAATGGTGTCTGGAAAAAAATCCACACACAATATCTTGGGCTCTAACAGACGCCAATAATTTTTAATTATGTTGCACGTGCTAGAATCTGAAAGTGCATGGAGTGCTTTATAACATTTCTGAATCTTTTTCTGCATTCGATTTTCTACTTCTTTTAAAATGGCAACAAAAGATGCTTTACTACTAAGAGAAGAGTGTAAAACTTTTACACGTTAAACAAAACATTAGGAGAAAAGTTTACCACAAACCATTTTGCAAACGAAGGAGTTCTGAAAACAATATATTGTATTCTCTAATGTTTTGAAAGTGGATTATCACCACAAAGAAGAAAGGGGTTTGGTAGAAAAGCGAAAATTCTAAAGAAAAGCCAAGTTGAAAGAATTGATCCTTCCTACTCGGCCTTCTTCCAAGAGGACATTTGATGACAGCAATAAAATTTCAATTCAATGAAACTGAAAATTTCACTAGTTTTGTTTCACGAGGCTCTGGAAGAAAAAAATTACATTAAATGTAAAAAGCAACAGATAATTCTAGACAGAATGGCACATGCAATGACCACTGACAAAGATAAAGTGCAGAAGGTTATTGCAAAAGTCCTACGAAAAGATCTTCATTTTAAATGATGAATCCTATTTCATTCTTTCACGGCCAATGATCAATAGTAACATGAAATTTTATATCCATATCATCACCTCTTCACCTGCTGATATAAAGTTTTCCAAAAAAAAGAAATCCGAGAGCAAAGTTTTGTTTGAAATACAATGTCGAGCCCTAATCAGAAGAAAGTTTTGCTATCAACGCCCAGTGATATTTAAATTAATGTATAGGATGTTGCCTGATTCTTTATATTTGAAAGAATTAGATGGATGGCCAGAAGATACATTATCAAGCAGAATATGCTTTCCGGCCTGATCAAACAAGTTCTCATTACACCAAAACTGTACTGAATTATCTGTGACAAGAAAACATCACCTTTGATGAAAAAGTTTTCACAAATGTAGTCAAAAGTAATACATAGATTTTGTGATGGGCACTAAAGAACATCATTTACTACAGTGATAACAAAATAAGAAGTTGGAATATTGGGGTATTACTCTATTTGCATCACTGATCGTCTTATAAGTGAACAATATTCACTTATAACTTATGATCTGGGTTAGTGGCAATCATATACCATTATAAAGTGAATATTTATCCACATGGAATCTTATTTTATTATGGCGAGTCCATTATACAGTCATTTGATTGTATTGTAAACATATTGTAAAGTGACAATTCATTGCATAGTAACAATTTAAATAGCACAGTATAGCTTAGTTCACACTGAGCGTGATTTGCTGGCGAAAGCGAAAAACAGAGTGAATAACCCGTCAAATGAGTCGTGTTTCACCAGTTATTCACTGTTTTTCACTTTCACCAGTGAATTGCGCTCAGTGTGAACTAAGCTTAATAAAGTTCAGTTCAAATTGAAACAGTCTTAATAAAAATAATAATTTTAAGTAAAAAAATTAATATTTTCCATGAAATAAAACATACATTTTTATGGTTAACTAGCTTCATTAATTTAAATTCCCTGTAGGCTCTTTTAGCATGAGTGACATTTTGAAATGGTCGACTGAGTTTCTTTATGGCCACATTCTGTTCGGTAACTGTATCATAAGCAGCACTATAAAAAAAAATTAATTAAAATATTATTAATTTAAAATTTAATAAATTTCTTATAATTTATATGAATAAATTAAAAGCCTTCTTATAATTCACAACAAGAAAAGGGAAGAGAAGACAACTAAATTTGAATACTTTTAGATTTATTACATTTAAAAATCAATGCTTTCAAGTTGATATTAACAGATAACATTCTAAAGAAGACTAACAAGAATATAAATAGCAAGTTAGATGGATGTGTGGGTAAGGAAATCTAACCAAATCCGAAATGAGTACATTCAAGGTACAGTTAAAAATAACTGATATTGCCTACAGAATACAAAAAAGGAAAACTTTAATGGTATGGACATGTCATGAGAAGAGATAAAAAAGTTATCTCAGATGATAAGTCAAACATGGAGATCAGAGGAAAGTAGAAAACCAGCATGAGATAAATGGATATACATTATTTGAAGTAAACATAGACAAGAAAAAAGGGACTGCAGAAAGATGTAACTACAAATAAGATATAGTGAAGAAAACTTATCAAATACAGCAACCACACACAAATTGAGACAAAGCCGATCATTCTAAAGATAACAGAATATAACAAAAACATGGGTTCGAAAATTGGGGAAATCCCCCATACAACACGGTTGAAGAATTTGGGAAATTCTCCGTACAGAATTTCATAACTTTTTAAGTGCAAACTCTGTTATTCAATATTCTTTTTTCTTTTTTTATTCAAGTACGTATGTGTGTTGTCTCAAATTTGCCCATGGATTTTAGAATATTGAAATTTTAAATTTGTTTTATGCCTTTCATCAGGTTTACTTTAATGAAAACTGATAGTTCAAATTTTTTCTTTCTAGTCCTAGCTTTTCTATCAACTGGACGTTGTCGTTACTTTCAGATTTTAGCTGTTAAGATAAACTTTACTAAATACAAAGATTAATCTATTTAAACATTTTATCTAAGTATTAGTAAACTTTTTTCACCACAGGTAAGTAAGTAATTCATTAAAGTTATGAACAAAATACAGCAGTATCAAACTGTTCTGAATTGAACAATTCAGCATTCGAACACAAATTCTGGAAAAGAATAGCTCGGTACTCGAATGAACAAACACGACCCTCTAGAACTAAATTTTCAATTAACATATTTCATTTTGTCATTTATTAAAAATTTTTTACGACAAAAATAAAAAATATGAAGTTTTTGCTGATATTTCCGATCGAGATCACCAAAAATGCTCAGATGACGAAGATACTTTGAAAAAAGAAAATTCCCTCATTTAACTAAAACTAATATTAATGTTTAATTAATAGAGTACTTTTAATTGGGATTATCAGTTAATTATTGATTGCTTTAATAAAGATATTTCTCTTAGTAACAAAAAAAAACCACTCCACGATTTGCACTAGTCCTTTGTTTTGTGTAGTACTGATTCATGTAACACAGTACTTTTTCCAAATGTAACTACAGTAGAGCATCGATTATCCGTCACATCGGTTAACCAACCATTCTAGTTGGCAAATTTCAAATTCCCGCTAGAGATATGGCATTACAATATTTGGCTATGTCTTGGCTACTTTAATATTATTTTTGTTAAATTTTTGCGTGTTTTAGCTGACATCAACGGCTCGACCATTGAAGGGAGGCCAGTATTTAAACGAGACTTAATTTTCTAATTATGAGTGGTTGTTTGTTTCGTGAGCAATAAAATAATTTAAAAATAATTTTTAACGATACAATAGCAATGATTATTAAAAAAAAAAAAAAATTTGTTGGCTAAACATCGATGAAAATTCAACGCGAAGTTGATTAATAGCGATATACCAATAAACTAATTACATGGGATATACTAATGTCCTAATATACTATACTAATAATTTTTTTCCTTCTGTTCGGTTATCCGACCAACCTGAGTCCCCAATTGAGTCGGATAATCGATGCTCTACTATACAATGTTATACAAGGAATACCCATATTATTAAATAACTTTCAAGTCAGATGATGATGATAAAATAAGTCTTTGTGTAATGTTTTCTAAACAGTAACTGTACAAATGAAATAGAATTTCAATATCCTACTGAATATCTTTGATCATCACAATTCATCAAGTATTTATCATACAAAACAAGCTTACTTATATCAAATGAGATATAAAAAAATAAAAACTATATCAAGATAAAATATGATTATAATGATTCAAAAAAGGGTATAAAAGTATAGACAGAGATAAATTTTATTTATAAAAATATTTATGATCTTTACTCGATGCATGTTAAAATAATTAAATTATTATAATAATAAAAATGAAAATTAATTAATTAATTACCACACTATTCCCTGAGCACCCGATCCTATCGGCTTTAAATTCTGATATCTTTTAAGAATAGTGAATTTTGTATCTCCGACTTCTACCGTATAAAAGAGGGTAGAAAATTTACTCATGGTAGACATATTTTCCTTACTACTTTCTTCTGATTGTTTGGAAGTCAATTGCATTAGTTGCTGGCAATAGTTACCGCTAACCGAGATTTAAATGGAAGCTAAAGTTAACTGTGATTTATGATGATTGGAAAGTGAATGCACTCCACTCATTGCTATCTTCAGAATCTGAAATTTAAATAATAAAAACGTTTAAAATTGCATTTTTAAATAAGCAAAACTAAAATTTATTATTATTAAATTTACAAATAACATAAAATGTACTTTAACATTTATTTAATCTCTATTACTAGTTATCAGATAAAAAGTACTGTATATTAATATCTCATTTAGTTTCTGATTTTATAATTACATATTTGTTAATGATGTCCTTCAAACATAAATCCAATTCAAACTGCTGTACAAAGAGAAAACTTTTTAGAAAACTTGAATTTTCCAGCTTCATGTCCAGCATCGTAACTTAAAAAGATTTCTTTTGTTAATGAGCGGAGTCTGAAAGCAATAGAATTTTCTAAAAAGTTTTTATCCCAAGCAAATCATGCATTTCAATTGAATTTTGCAACTACTTTTCTAATTTTCTATTATGTTATCATTGTTCTTCAGAAATATAGTAGCAAGATGAAATGAAGTAACTAGTCAAAAGAACAATAATATCATTGTTAGTAAATTCATAGGCATAGGAGTCAAAGGAGCATGAAGGTTAACTGCCATCCCAAATTTGGGTGAAGCAAGAATAGGGAAAAAAATAAAAAATAAAAAGAAAGAGCAAAAAGATGAATAAAACCATCAGTATGGCAAATTAAAAATCGGTACTTGCATTTGTTTAAAATTTCAGACGAATCAATCCCTTCCGATTCACTTAACCAGTGTCCATATACACTCACGATTATGTGTCATAACATACTCGGTTGATATTGGTGCCTAATGATATATCAAAGATCAAGGAGTAGCCAACATAAAAACTGTTATTGTATTTTTGTACATATAATCTACAGTTTATTTGTGTTTTGAAGACAATTAAAGAGGAAATATGAATCATATGCCAATTTTAGATTGCAATTACAAACTTACTCGTATGAAACAATAACCACTCCCGTAGATATGGATGAGTTAGGCAAAAGTTTTTATTTTTGTTCTAAAAACTTTCTGTAACGAGTTAGATGCTGCCACAAGTTATACACACAAAAATACATTATTATTTTTATGTGGGCTGTTATGTATATGTATACGTGTTTGTGGGTGTTTAACAATTTACAGACTGTAACATGTATTTAGTTTGCTGTTTTCTGTCAACTCAGTTCATGTTTGATAAGCATCATCTGATCTTTTCTGGTTGCCTTAATTTGTATGTGGATAATAAAAACTTTTGTCCACGGGATTTAGTCTGGTTAGATGCTCAGGTAGGGATTTCTATAATGAGCAAATTCCATACTATGTTTCAAGTTAAAATGTTAGTTACTAATTGGTGTTTGTACCATCTTACAGAGCTGTCCCATTAATAAGATTATCTATATTGTTTCTGACAGTTGGGTTGCCTTGAAGACACTTGACTCTTGTCAGTTCACTTCAGCATTTCTCTAAGAGTGCTGTTTGCATCTCTCTGAACTGACAGCCTGCAATAGTTTTTCTTGCTTTCTCTAGCAATTCCTGATAGAATTGCTGATTTACTGGCCAAGTAGAAAGTTTCTTACCATTTATTGGGCTCAAATTAGCTTTTATTGTTTTTTCTAATACTTTTCTACAGCTGTTAAAGACAAGAATTTCTAGTCATTTAAAATACTGAAGGATAACTCCAGGGTCCAAGGCACGGCTCGGTAATATATAATACTACAATACTCCCAAACGTAAAATCCAGTTAAAAGAATGAAAACATTTAATGAAGAACAAATGTTTTCAACCTTTACAAAGGCCATCTTTGGATTCTACTGGTATAACACAAATTGAACAAAAACAGAAATTTAAATGATGTTTGTTGTATAAGAACATTTTATGTGCAGGAATGCATTAATAAGTTATAAATTAAAAATAGTTACAAAAAAAAAATACAACACATACAAAAAGGTTAAATGCTTATAAATAACAAAAGGCTGAAATAAAATATACTCCAAAACAACTGGAGTACTGATATATAATGATAAGACAAATATAATACAGGAAAAGTCCTAATAATGAACCAACTTTTCTTCAGGTCCCGACAGTTTCCTATTTATTTATATGCATTTTTTGTATTCTTTCAAGTACTTTTTGCATTTAGTCATGTTAGACAAACACCATTGCACAAACATTCAATAATATCAATACCAATTGTGCAATCTCTACTTTATGCATTGCCCTCCATCTTGGCATTTGAAACACTTGATCGATGGTGAATAAAGATCAGTTTTCATTTACAGAGAGAACAATTTATGTTTCTTTATCAAATTGCATATTCATTCCACTAAATTTTGACATACTGTAGTGATCACCATCACACACCTTTATCCACCGGTAAGTACTGTTCAAATGCTATGCAAGAAAAACCACTCAATTTTAACCTATTTGAAAATTTGAATTCCGAAATTTTTGATGCATACTTTTTTTTACAATATCTTATGTACAATGGCAGATCAGAAATGAAAACAAAAGCAACTCTCCATGTGCAGAAGCTGTAAATTTTGAAAGTGGTCGACAGAAGGGAAAATAAACTTGATATTGCATTCCAAAATCAAGCTTTCCAACCATACTTTCACAACGTGAAAAAAAAAAATTGAAAAAATTCACTGTTAATAGGACTACATTGACTTAGAGAACGACCATGCACATATAATGAGCTTGATAGAAAACTTCTTGATTGGTTAATGTAAGCAAGAAACAATTCCACTAAACTGTACCAGCAAGCTTCAGCCAATAGATCAAGGTGTGATCACCTTAGTAAAGAACCAGATGATAGCTTGTTCGGTGGTATATGATCTGTCAAATAGATGGAAATAAACTGTCGTTAGTAAAAACATTTTGCAGGCCATGCAGCAATTGTGTTCAGTTTGGAACAGCATTGAACCAATCACTGTTAAAAGTTGTTTCAAAAAAGCTGGTTTTTCAGTTCAAGATGGATTTAATGAAATTATGAAAGCATTAATGATGACTTTATTGGCAACTGGACAGAAGTAACCAACATATTACATTTGGAAGATATGACATTTGATAATTTTGTTCAAACTGAGGACAGATGTGTTGTATCATTAGAAGATAACAGCGAAATGGCTAAACATGAAGCTGCATCACTTCAAGTTGAAGATGACGTGGATGAGGAAAATGATTAGGCTCTGCCAGTAAAGCTACTGAAACGACCGATTGCAGAGACAGAGTTTACATTAAACGACGTTTATCAACGAACGGCCTATAGCTGTTGGCTGGCTGAACCGCAGTTTAAAATGCGTTGCAAAGACAATGATGGTCTATTTCTGACCGTTCTCTAAACGAACTTCGGCAAAACATTGGCTCTTACTTACTTCGCTATTACTCCCGTTTTAGGAGTCGTTCGGCCAATCGGGTTATTTCTTCGTGACATCAGAAATGGTCGTCAGCTATATTCTGAAAGCTTAAGGCCGTCAAAATCATTGTTCGGCAATTAATGACAATCCTTTTCCATTTCGATATTTAATTTCGTCGCCAATATGATTTAAAATATGAACAAATCCATATTTAGAAAATTTATACTGAATTCGAAATTCGTCTTCAGAATAGATTTTTAAGGAATTATTTCGACATCTTATTACTGTCTTAATATTGCATTTTTTTAATATCTATAAACAGATTTCTGTAATTATTAAAATTGTCTCTTTTGTTTAACAGTACAATGACTTGGAAATGCATTAACGTTTTATAACCGACACGATACTGGAATTGTAAATAAATGCATCTGATTTAAATTAAATTGAAGTTTTAAGTCTTCACCCATTTGAATGTCGAAATTGGAACATTTAAAACAAATTTAAAGTATTTAATTTTGTTGTTTTTGCACTGAGCAATTAATTAATGAATAATATTGTTGATTCGTACCGTTTACAACATTTATCGAAGGAAAGATATCTGTTTTTATCTAAACTTTTCCACAAACGAAGCTACCACTCAAATTGAAAAGCCCTCTAAACCTGCTGTCCAGTGAGTCTAGAAAGTACGTCAAATAACTTATTTCTAATCGCTGTCTACATTGCGGCAGGCGAGAAACGCCGTCTCTGCAATGAAATTTTTCTGAACAGCGGTCTACCCGATCTGTAAACCGCCGTCGGCCTCTAAACTTTGTCTGTGCAATCGGCCCAAAAGGTCTGAGGTAAATGCCACCCTTAATACATTAGAGATGTTCATCCAAGCATCAAAAGAAGCAGACAAACAAAAATATTTCTTGAAATGGAATCGGCAACATTTAAATTACTTAAAAGCAAGAAAGGCAAGCAAATATTGCTGAGTTTACTTGCCAAGAGTTCATAATACCATATACAACATTCAGATCATATATCTAAAGCTCCTTTCCTCCGCATTCCATCGGAAATTTGAAGTTCACCTGAAGAAGAACAATTTAAGGTTCAAAAACATTTGTGAAGAGCTGTTTTTTTCATTCTTTTTGTTTTATTTGAGTTGCACACTGGTAACAGGCTTTAGAGACGTACCTTTATATAATTTCGTATATATCGTATCATGTTTTTTAAGTTTTGTATATGTTTATTTAACTTAAATTTTATGTATGTTCTACAATATTCTGTTTAATTTTTTTCCAACTTGACATTTAATAAAATTTCTGACAATCCTAAATAAAGAACATCCTAATTAACAAACTATTGAGAATTCGAACCACTAAAATTCAATAATTAGGACTTTTCCTGTATATATATATATATAATAAAATGGAACTGTTTACAAAAAACATTACACAATTGCTAAATATGTTCAAATACTGCCCTCCAGACATGCGACACAGGAGCTGTGTCCCTGCTGTTGATAGCTCTTCTTCTAGAAATAGCCCTGTATAACTCAAGACTCTCCAGGTATTTTAGACGCAATGGTAATGCATTTTGGTGTAGAAGGTTAGCTTTATCAAAGTAAACCTCTACATATGTGTCTGATGCATGGTTGGCCAAGGTCATACCAGTTGATTTCCTATTAATAGAGTCATGGTGTTCCTTGACTCTAGT